TGTCAGTGTTCTCTCCTAGCTACTTTCAGTAACTTCTACCATGTTGGCTATCTCTTTGGACATTTGAAGCCAGTGACTTTATATAATCTAAACAATTCTGGTAATAAAAAATAACTGCCTTCTATGAAGTGTTCGTAAACCTTAGTGTCACCTATCCACGTCCACTTGTCTTTATTTAAGTTTGATATTCCCCAGAATTTGGGAGAAGAATTGCATCTACACAGTTAACCACAACCTCCTGAAACTCTAGGAAAGTTTCCAAACAGGTACGACATTCTATATAAAAAACAAAAAGTTTTACGTAGTTATTCAAGCTTTTAACGTCGTGTTTCCGGCATGAATTTCTTTATATACTTTTTAATTAAAATCGAGTGATCGCTTTGGTGAAAGAAATTATAAACATCATTATGATTCAAATTACATCCCTAAATTATTGTAAGTTGCAGGCATTCGCTACTGACATGTTTAATAAATGTGATTAAAGTGAGTGTACTGAGCTGTTTTACCAGATATCTCTTTTATTCTTGCTTGCACTCCTCAATTTATTAAACGACACTGACGATAGGTGGCATCAAGATTAGCTATCCGTAATAATTGTAGTATGCCATCCTCTAACTTTTCTCCTGTTGTTCTTTCCGTGTACTTAAAATCTATGAAGAATTCTTCAGTAGATGGAACCATACTTGACCTGAGCAGAAATATCTAAGTCACACTTCCCACTTACTGATTGTAATAGGTATTGCTTATATTTGCTCGACGTGTGCAGACATTCTGCTTGCTGTCATCTGTAAAAAACAAAAAATAATAATTGTGAGTTAAAGATACATTTAATTTCATATTTTTCATGAAAAAAACACCAACAGCAATTAAGTAATAGATATGGGGAAAAGTACATTAAACTATTCTATGTTAAAGTCATTTACTGGCGTATGGGGGTTACCTATTGCTCCTTTCATATGTACTTAAGATATCATTTAAAGGTTTCAAAGTAATTACATTATTTTAAATTTTGAAATGATCACACAAATGAAACTTAAAACAAATTGAATAGCAGTAATTATTTCCTTTTATTTCCTGTTCCCACTTGATGCAGCAGCGATAGTCTAGTAATGGTTTGCAGCGAGTTTTAATATGAGCTTGGCTTATATATTTATTCAAGCGTTAAAACCAAACTCACTGGCCAAATCAACGTCTTTAGATGATGATACTTTGAAAATTAAAAGTATATAGTTATATTAGTTTTTGATATCGGAATTCAAGATGGTGACTGGTTGAGGTCACCAAACTTTACAACTGGTCTTGTTTTCATACGAGACTCCATACAAAAATCTACATGTACGCCAATTTTCATGCTTTCCTCACAATTCTGGGTGCTTATTTACTGGACGTTTAGTATGTTATTCGTGCCTTTTTTTCTCTCATTTGTTTTTTACTCTACTCAACTTCAATAGGCTTTTTTTTAACACCTGCCTCTCTATTCAATGTTACAAGTCCTTTCCAAGCTTATTTTGCTCACATTTCCGAGTCTTTTTTCCCCCCATGTTACTTTTCTCATTATGACGTCCCCTCCTATTATAAATGGCCTACTACCTATTCTCTTTAAACTCGTAACATCTTTATTTTTTCTTGCATCAAGTTGATCTTGTTAGAAAGAAAACAAGAAAAGATAACTGAAGTTTTTTATACTTCCAATGACTAAAATTCTTTTTTTCTTCTAAACTCATTCCAGTGTTAATGGTATAAGCATTTACCTTCGTCACATCAACCTATCAGTTTCTATTTTAAAAATGTAATCTGCCTTAAATCTTTTTTTCCTATATACGGTGTGTTCAGAATCACCTCTCATAAATGTGGAGTTGCCACAACTTTATGAAGTCTTATTTAAAACAGACTCCTTTGACATTTCTCAACCAAGAAACCTTACATCGAGACATTTCAGATTGTCACAATTTCCAATCTTAATTTATTCCTGAACAAATTTATGTTCCACTTATATATATAAAACAGGAACAAGATTCAATCTTCCGAAAATACACCTTCTGTCAACTGCTTTTTTTCTTTCTTTCTAATTTTGTGCTTTAAACTTAACTTTGCCTGGTGTGTCAATAAAAGTTTAGTTTTTCTTATTTTGGCACTAAATTTTCCAGTTTTTCCTCATATATTGTTTTTATATCTTGGCTTTTTCTTCCTCTTAGCAGGTTTTTAAACATATTAACCTTCCAAGCTCCTTATCCACCATCCTCACCATGTCAGACCTTCCACTTTATTTTATTTTTTTCCCATACATCATTCAATTATCTCTACTTCGTAAAGACTTTACAAAGCACATGTGATCTTTACCTGCAACTCGAGCAGTATTGCCAAAATGTAATACAGCTAAACAAACAAAACTCACACAAAGCAATCATGATGATGATAAACCAGAGCCTGACATTGATTTGATCGACTTTAAGTGTGAAGCTACATCTGAACTTTACCTAAACTTAACATTCCAAAAAAAAAAAAAAAATCTTGTTCTTATTCTCAAAGTATTTTGTATCTTCAGGTCATTTATATAAAAACAGTTCTTCATTACAATGATGCACTAGTTTTGATGACTGCGATACCGGACTAAGAATACCAACACTTAATCTATAAAGTATACTTTTGTAATGATCCATGTTGTTTTCTTAGTCTTTCATTTATTTGTACTGTTATTCTAACTTGTCAAGTTTTCCTTTTTTTTTTAACAAGGTGTCAGTTGTTTGATATTTTATGCATGTAAAAGTGCTTCTGAAAGAAGTAGATGTGATAGTAGTAGCTTCAACCATCTTTCACGACCTCGTGTATTTTTCCCATATTCCGAATTGGGTGTTTTCATAAAAGTGAATCTTATTTTGAGCAATACATATTATTTGTCAAAACGTTCTTTTTGTTCCTCTTGTTTAAGCTGGTTAATAACAAACCCAAAGTTCTGTCCTGTAAAATCTGTATGAGAATTTGGACTTGTCTTGTTTCAAGATACAAAATTAACAATAATTTAGTTTTATTCAGAGATTTGAGGCGAGATGTCACTGTTGGAAAAATACACAGGGACCAACGACTGACCATTAAGAGGTTCCCAGCATTTTCATTAAGCACAGCAGGGACTCCTTTACAACATAACATTCCGGGTTAATCCATGGTATCATACTATACTACAGACACACCCCTCGAGGTTTTGTAGCAACCTTTGTGGATTATACAGCCTATGATCATTTTTATCAGTGTAATGTTACCTACTATATCCTCATTTATGGTTCAAAAAACAACAAGAAACTATCAATACAGTAATATAAAACTTCATTTTATAACTTTTACAAGTTGTGTTTTGGCAATATATATCCGAATTGCTGTCAATAAGATATGTAACTCCTGAAATAGTTTCTTTTCCCCTAAATAAATAATTCAAATATCACAAATATCCCCTACTGAATAAAAGTCTAGTATTGAAAAGCTGTATAGCTCCTGTTTTTTTTTTTTACATTATTTTATCAGAAGTTGTATCAAACACAGATATCAATGGCAAAATTAGATTACAAAAACATATCAAAACTAAGTTTTCTCATTCAAAAGGAAGTTATTTTTCATATGTAACACTCCAACTTTATGGAGATGATTTAAACCTGTGCTTCTAACTTGTTAAACTAGAACTTCCAGTATTGGAACAAGAAGATCAAAATTTGATGATTTAAAGCCAGCTCCCGAGTAAGGATATTCAACAGCTGGTAAATGTTAATCTGAAGCTAACCTTGGCTTTGTGAATTCTTAAACTGCAAACGTGTTCCAATCTGATCATATCTTGCTTACTTTTAGTTTTATTTATGCTTTAAGTAGATACTGTTTTAATGGAAAACTAACTTTCTCATTCTGATGAGTTGTGATAGTGGTTATTTCAGGTATAAAGACAAAATAACCATTTGTTGAAAAGTGAATGGAATCTTAATCCAATCTAAATATCCCTAGGAATGGATGCTTCCTTCCTTTAATATCAGGCAATCAATCAATTACAATCGAAACACTTAATAACAATCAAAGAAAATCCCAAGCACAAAAGGTTAATGTGGTATATTTATCAACAAGCAAAATTACCCATCCCCAGTGACAGGAAAAGTGTAAGTTAATCCATCAACTTAAATTATTTCATGGACTTTAAAATGGTTAATTTTCTCGCACTCTTGGTTTCACTCTTAGCCCACTGCAAAAAGTAATTGTTGAGCATTTCAGTCATGCTAAGAGCCACTCAACAATAACATACGGTAAATCTACATTTTTTTAGCTTTACGTTACGTCACATTTTGAAATGTGAATGATAGTGTGATTTAATCTTAACAATTTAGTGTAGAATGTCCAGCTTGCGAAATAAAATTGATGCTTGTTTCCCATCATTTAATTAAAAAGTGAATGTTGAGCTTTGCCTGCGTGTACAGCTTTTCAAATGCAGTGCAGGAAGCGAACGTCGTGAACAGGAGACAAACAAACAAACACTCACACACCACAGTTTGCAATATATATACAAGATGATGCAGGATGTATAAAACAAAATTGTGACATAGTACATGGTTGCTGGTATAATACAGTATACTTTGTTTGTTGAATTTCCTGCATTTTAAAGTTATAAACTAGACAGAAGGCAGTTGTCAACATCACTCTCTCCCAACTCTTGGGTTACTCCTTAACAACAAACAGTGGGATTGACTATCACATTATAGTGCACCCACAACTGAAAAGACGAGCATGTTCGGTGACAGGATTCAAACCAGAGACCTGTAGATTGTGAGTCGAGTGCCCTAACCACCAGACCATGTCAGGCACTAATATAGTATGATACACACAAAACTTCTCTCTTACGTACAAGGTTTTTAAACAAAGTAGATCCAATGAACTATCCAGCAACAAGACTGATTTACTTTATTAGTATGGTATAAACATTCCGTTTGTGAATAAAAAAAAAATATATATATATAGTCAAGACTTTTCCAAAACATTTCAGCTTTTTTATTCAGCTGTGTAGAAAACCCTGACCTCTAATAGGCTACAACAAATATAGGCACATTACAAAGAAAAAAAAATCTTAATTTAAATCCACTCATTTCACTTGATAATTAAGAGAAAACATCAACCTTAGAGCTTTGGGCACCCAAAACTAAGTCCAATATGTTAAACTTAACATACAAACATAAACAGTCAAGTTAACTACACAGCATACTGGTTATTCATACTGGCTGATTTTTTTTGCTAAAAGACTTCTTGATCGGGAACCTCTTCCAGGTAGAGGGTTAATTTCAACCTGGAATGCAGACATCACAAGCTACTTGAAGAGAAGAAACTGACAACATAAAAATAAAGACAAACTGTACTGCACTATAAATAACGAACGGCTGGTTTGGTTGATATTTCCACTCCACAACCACCTTCTGGTGAGAGTTAACTGAGGCTATCAAGACACAGATGCAAAAGTTGGCCCCAGACCTCTCACCATTTAGTCTCTTCCCACACCAAACAGTCCTTTCTCATTCATTTCAAGCAAGAGGGAATATAATGTGTGTAGCTATTTTGATCCATAAATGTTAAACTTGATAGCGGTTTTTTGCTGAAGATCCAGTTTTGGACTGTGTGTCAGCATGAGCCTAAAATTAAGCAAAAAATAGTCATAAATAAAGTTATTTGTGAAATATTAACTGAAACAATACTATAAAAAAAACACTTGTACTTTATATTGAACATACAGAAACCCCTAATTAATTCAAGAAAAAAAGTATATAAACAAGTAAACTTAATACTAAATAATGTATTAATTTCCCACTTTAAGTCCAGTTTTAATGAACTATTATAACAATAAAGTAAAAAATAGAAGCAACCTAACATACAAAATTTTACTTCCAACATTAGGGATAAAGAATATGACAGTTCTAATATGCTAGATACATGACTTGGTCATGATTATAAAATTTAGAACAGTCTAACAAGTAAATGTTATTAATAACTACACATTTTATTTTTCTATGAATTTGTATCAGCTTGGTGACTTTCTGATTTACATATTCAAAATTGTTTTACTGTAATGTAATCGATCCTCTATAATCTGTGGTTGCTAAATGATAACCAGTAGCGTCCTCAAGAGTTGTGCATTCTACTGTGTGCTAACATTTTATGTTGTGATGATAGTTTTACAACCATAGTGAAATGACATGTATCAGAACTACATTTTAACATTCTCTGGTGTCTTGTAGGTAGTGTGATGCCACTGGAAATTTATCACTTTTGGGAAGGGTGTGAAACAGACCTTTCAGATTTAAAATATTCATACACTCAGATTATAAAGATATGTTCAGGTTGTGGATTTAGAATTTATAAGATGGGGAATTCACTTCTACTTAATGGTATATTGGAAAATAAAGGAATATGGATCAACCTAGGGTACTAAGACTACTCAGAAAGAGACCTATAACAAGCCATACACTTGCCATTATATTACACAAAGAAGAAGAATCCTCATCTGGAAAAGTGATACATACACAAGTGGCTTCAATGACATATGTGTTCAAACATCACTTACCTCAAGCAGCTGGAAAATTAAATGGGTATTAATGCTATTCTCTACAAAAATGTATCAGTCAAGTTGCCAGATGCAAAATACTTTGGATTAATGTGCAAATAGACTGTTGAACCTGGCTGAAAAACAGCCATGCTCATACAGGGAGGAGTGGTGTGCTCTAGATATGAGCCTTAAGATGGAGTCTTTGCAATGTAAACTAAGCTGCAGGGCTGCTGATGTTAAGATGCAAAGTCATCAGATAGAGCACGACTGGACATGGTGATACGGTCTTAACAACGCAGTGAAGAATAAATTTAATATAATGTACTCAACTTCTGTATATACACTAATATAGGCAAGAAAAAAAATTAAAATGATGAAAATGGTTTATTATGAAGGTTACCTACCTCAAATCCAATCATCTGTCTGGGACTCATGTTTAACCTTTCTTTCAATTTTTTTCTGTAAAAGTAACGAAATGCAGCCTTACACTTTCTTATAGGAGCAAGCTCTATGTACACACCCATTCATATTGAAGTAAAATTACTCTTAGGTGATTAGTGTGTCATGAATAAGAAACAAATGTAACAACAGTTTACGAAAATCCTAAAATGAAATGTTTAAAACTTCTACAAGAGAAAGAACCACCTGGTGAACTTTTCAGCCAAACAATATTTATTATCAAATTATCAACAAATTAAATGGTGTAATAAGTTATAGTACCAACATCTGCAGGAACTCAGGTTATTAAAAAAAATCTTTAATTAAGAATATCCTTTTTCATGACCAAGTTGGACTTCTTTTTCTATCAGTTCCAATAATAATTTAAACAGTGAATAATATTTAAGCATTTCATCTTATAATGATCGCACCATAGGTTTAAAAAACAAAATCACAGCTTTTCAGAACTTTCCACTGGTTATCACACAAATGTATTTACGATTTTTTATGAACTAGAATGTTAAAATCTAAGTTCAAAGAAAAAATAATAATTATTACACCATTTCTCGTTTTTATTTCAATGTGTGCTTGGTGCTATCTACAAAATTAGTACTATATTATTATGTTCATAGCTTATGGTTTTTATGTTACAAACATACATAAACCCACAACTTACTACAAATTATTTCAATATATATCCAGTTGAATCTAAGTTTCAAATGGACAGCAACTGTCTGTTGTAGAAACCTTCAAATGTAGAGGACAAAGTTTCAAAAACGT